GCTCAAAATGTAGGGCTCTGCATTACCATAAGAATATAACATTGGACTTGTGGGAGCCAGATGTCTCTTCTCAGTTCCCACATGCTGGACTCAGGAGGGAGAAAACCTCTTCTGCTGCCAATTCTGCTGGAGTTAATGAAGTTCAAGTCCATATCTAGCTTGGTACAGGGCATTCTAGCTGTACCAGGGATTTCTGGCAAGGAGAGGAAGATACAATCTCCAGGTCAGGCTGGATTGTTCAGACATCGTAAAACTCTACTTTTACCTTACAAGGACTTTGATAGGATAGATACCTTAATTCACTGTTACTGTACTTCGTCACCTAACAGCTTTTCTCAAAGCAGAAGGCTTTCATTGCACTGTGCAGTCGGAGCTGAAGGGTTGGACTGATGGCAGCTAAACATATGAGTGCTTTTATAGCCTGGACTAAAGCAGTCCTAGATAAATACTGTGACACACACAAACTGCTTTCCGCCCTGCAGCTCAGCCTAGCTAGGCTTTCCTGTTTCTGAACATAACTTAGTCATGCATGGTAGTTCATTTTTAGCAATGGATAAACAACTCTCTTGCTTAGTTAGATAGGTGCTAAACCTTCACTGATTCATGACCATCATGAGTGCGCATATACTGGGCTTCAGATTTCATTGGAAGTCTGGCTGTGGTACTGTGATGTACATCTGGCAGAATCCTTAGGGCTCCTGGCATAAAGCGATAGTAGTATGCACTTTGTACAAGAAAATATTTTAAATAACAATCATGAAGAGATGGGTCTAAATCCACAAGCATTCGCAGTGTGTGCATACATAGGTGTAGATCCCTTCATTTTTACAGGTCTTGCTCATGCTGATCTGAGTTTCTTTTGTGAAACTGTGGTCATTTTCATTCTTAAAAGGAATGACTGCTTGTTCTTGTGGTGGCAGTTGGTTTTCTTTCACTTGTGTAAATCGCTGAGGGAGGATAAACAAACATTTCAAAGTGAAATAACAGTTTCCCAAGTTCAGAATTAAATAGATAAGCAAAATTTATCCTATTATTTATTTTAATCAAGAAATACTAAAAGACCTTCAGAGAAAAAGCATTGTAATTTCTGTCTTGAAGTAGCATGGAGATGGTCTTTGTGAGTCAGAGCATCTCTGAAGCAGCAGTGCATGCTTGTTGTCTCTTCTCTGCATTTTCTCTTAGGAGCTTGACAAGGTATGCATCTGTCCCATGGCCTACTGAAGGATACACAGAGTGGTGGAAACTCACAGAAAGTCTTGTAAAGGCTTTTGGAAGTGCCCTATAGTACCCCCAGCTAAAAGTTGTGCTGAGGATGTGTTTAGCAGAGAGGGGTAGCGTATTATAGCAGTAAAGTGGACATCTGAGTATCTTACACAAAAAATAACATTCCTAATACAGACCTCTGCAATTGCTGGTTATTGACCTGTGAAAACTGCCAAGTCTTTCACGGATAACATTGTTCTGGGAGAGAGAAAGCAGTTCGGGGAGTGTTGTTGCAGTAACATAAAGTATTGGGGTTTTTTATTAGAAAAAATGGTATTATTGGAGTGTGGAGATAATTGTAGGTGTTAAATTGGTTCTTTTCAGATGCAGTTAGAAGTTAATTGTTTAACTTGTGTGGGTTTTTTACTTTAATTTGATTAACAGTGGAGGGTGGAAAGCAATGGCGCTTTCATTCTTGTTTGTGTATCCACATTGAAAAACCCACACACAGAATGTGTATGCACTGGCAGGACAAATGGACTTCAATATGCCTTTTAAGTGCTCTATTTAAAATAGAAGTAATGATACTGTAGAAGAAATAATTATTACTGGATGTCTACTGTAATAGTAATAATGACTACTGTAAAAGTTGCAACAACGCTGGCATGTTTACTGCATATACCAGCAGAAGGCTTTCAGAGTGCCTTGATTTCTGTTCTAGACTGTCTTTGGGAAAGACATGAGCATTGAGACCATGTGTAAGTGGATGGTCCAACTCAAGTAGACACGGACCTCAGAACTCAGCTGAAGTGGCATGGCAGGTAGTCCTGTTAAATAACGTTACTGCTTTACCTTGGCAAGAGGAACTCAATTAAATTAGCAGCAGTGGGGTCCAGAGTGCTAACAAAGGCAAAAGTTATGACTTCTGCATTGGTTTGGTAACTTTCAGAGTGAGAAGCCTATAGCAGTATATTGAACGTAACCTACTTCTTGAATGAAGCAGCTACTTCTCAGTTCCCTGACGAGAAGACACAGTATTTCCAGAAGCGTTAATGCTTTTGAGGGTTTCTTGTTTTGTTTTAAAGTCAGCTTCTAACAGATGTATGTTATAACCTATTTGTAAGATGATCAGACCGTAATTGTTCATTGTAGAGGGGAACAGTATAATTGTCTTTCTGTGGGCAGGGTTAGATAATGAGACTTTTCTCTTTGAGAGCATCTGTGACAATATAAGTAAGATTTTCTGTTGAAAATGACTCTGGAATCAAAGATTAGGAAATGAAGAGTTTTACAGTAAGTTGTTTACTGTCTTCAAGTATTTGGCATTTAGCAATTTCATTCTGGACACTAGTTCTTAACAATCCTTTATTTGGATTGAAAATTGCAAACTAGATGTTAAGATTTTAAGTGGTTGGTTTGGGATGTGTTAGTGTCAACCGAGCAGGGAGCAGTGATAGCGTTTTTAATGGGACAATATAGGAAGGTTATGAAGGTGCTCCCAGTCAGTTTATCAGACAGGTTTTTTTCTTTATTCAGCCTTTTGTTTAATTCAGCCCTGGGCAGATGAACGGGGCTGAGAAGCAGTTGAGAAATCATGATTTGGCATTAAGGAGAAATATAATTTATTTTTGCATAAAGTGCATATGCACCTTAAATTGTGTAAAACTAGATTTTAATCCCTGTGACATGTTCCATTCTGCTGAGTGGCTTGAATTTCTGTCAAGGAGCTGAGGGAGCAAAAATCTTGTTCCTAACATTTAAAGCAGACTAATTTGTCTGCAGTCCTATGCACAGTCCTTATAATTAAAAAGTTCAAGGCAAATGCCAAGTGGCTGAAGAATGTTTTTCTCTATTTTTGTAAGGCACTTAAAGTCTGGGTGAAACATCTGTTTCCTCCTCCCTGCAACTCATTTCAGAGATTAATATGCTTCTAGTGAAATCTCCCTGTGACGTGTGCTGCTATTCAATGAAGATGTTTCAAATACCTACACAAAACCTAATTGCAACTTCTGCCATTTCCTGCCTCTATTGGAAAAAAAAAAAAAAAAAAGGCATTTCAAAAAGATTTGTGAGCTAAAATGGGAGTTGCCAGTCTGAGTTGCACCTACAATAAGAAGCTGTGGCAGAAAGTACTTGCAAAAGTGGAACTATTTGGTATTACCCATGCCATATGTGCTAAGAGATCACTGCCTATGCAAATGCACTCACTATGCCAATGCTTTTACCATTAACTTCTGTCCTCAACCTGAAGAGCATGGAAATCGTGAAGCTCAGAGGGGAGACATATACAGAGATATTTTGAATCCCTTTCTTCTGCACAAATTCTCGTGTCATTTTTGAGAGTCAAAAGTTGAGACTTGAAATACATTGTCATTTCTGTGCAGAGATAAATTTCCTGTAACTCTACAGTCCATTAAAAATACAGATGTTGATGAGAAGCAGTGATGGGTGCATACCATCCAAATTTTCAAACCAATCAACTTTCTGAAGTTTTTTCCTCTCTCTGTGATTGGGTGCATCACCCTCCACTGTGCAGAGCTGTTTACACAGTGCTTACAGTGACGACAGAATCTGTTTCAGTGTTTAGATAATTTTTCGGCTCCTGGAAAGCAAGCAAAGAGCACCTCTGTGAGCTGGGCTGACCTCTGGCTGGGCTAACAGGCTAAGCTGAGGTTGAAGATGTTTTTGCAAAACAATACTTTTTTTAGAATTACTGTCCTTTTCCTCAGCTGTCAGACCAGTCACTGCATATTCATTACAGCTTCTTTTTGCAAAGAGACTACTTGATGCAGCTGACTGCTGTGAAATACAGAGGTGTTTTTGTCAGTTCCTGGAAAAAAACAGACAAAAAACCAGTTTGTCTTCTCTTCATCTCAGGCTCTCTCTCAGTTGGTGTGAAACTGTCGGTCTGGTGAAATCAACAGAACGGTTGTTAGGAGGAGTTACCATCCCTGGCTTTCTGGTACTTGTCCGTGCAGCTGAGATGCCTTAGCCGTGACCACCTTCAGTGTTGACTTAATCTGCTTTTTTTGGCACTGACATGGATTGGGACTGCTTTCACAAGCATGTCCATGAGATAGTAGTACAGTAACAGCTGTATAGTTAAATGTCAGTCACTGTAAGGCAATGCCACTGAAGCTACCAGTAAAATTCAATAAGACAGAACCAGCAAGAGAAAGCAAGCAATGAATGCTTGTTATCAGGATGCCTCCAGTCATGACGGTAAAATTCCTGTGAAGAGGGTGAAAATCCATGGCCTCGATTTTTTATTAGGAGAATGGTGGTTCAAAGGACAAAATAGCTCTGTTAATTTACTGTCCTGAAGTGTTTATAAAGATGCATCTTTGATGGGTGAGATTACAAACCAGAAAACTATATAGAAAAGAAAGAGTACCCTGAAGAGAGACATACTGTATTTTAGTGAAGATAGCTGTCTACACAGACATGTATTTTAAGGTTAACATTTGAAGAACTCTTTACCCAAAACTGGAATATGTTGCTGCTTATAGGAATGAAATAGTGTGTTTATCTAAGCCATTGAGATGTAATTTCAGTTTATACCATGTTAGCACAACTAATCCTTTCAGTGATGTTCAGCTTCTGCCAATTCAGTCAATGGACTAATTGTGTGAAGTGAAGCATACAAGCACAGCAGTGTTTTATGTATTACATCTCACCACTTCCTGACCCTCTCTCCCTGCACACTACCTTCTTGCAGTCTTCTAGCCAGATCTGTTGTACAGTTAGAAATGCCCAGATTAATTTTCCCCGCTTTGACAAGCTTCTTTACATTGCAGGAGGCCAGCTTTTATAGTGCATCCATAGGAAGCGTCTCCACTACAGCCTTTCACCACACAGGAGACAGACTGAGGATGTAGGCAGCTGACAAATGTGAAAGCAATGAAGAGGTGTTCCGAGGTTGACAGCGCTTTTCATAGTACACGCATTTTCTGGGAAGGGCATAAGAAGGGAGATAAACAAGGGACGATTTTGGCAAGCTGAGAAGAAGCTGTGGCAGATAAAGATGTTCCGAAGACAAGATCACATCAAAAAGGTAAGAGCACCAACTTCAGCCTGTCCTTTTTTTCCTGCTGCTTGAATATTTTCTTCAAAATCAGCAATTCTTCGTTTGGAAATGCTGACATTTTCTAGAGAATCATATAAACGCTATAATAACCATTCAACGTTACTCTGAGAAAAACACAGTACTATTTTTATAGCTCAGTCTAGCCCCCTCACTTTCTACTCTAAAAGTTGGGGTTTTTTTCCAGAAGCTGTGCAAACTGATAAAATAATGATAACAGTTCAAACATCAGAAATATCTCTGCATAAGTGCTGTATTTAGAGTAATAATCAACCAAGACAGAGGAGGGGAAGTCACATGGCAGTTGATAAAAAGTCCTATGTAAGACTTTGACTCAGGACTAGAAATAACTGAAAATAACACTGAAAGTCTTATTCTTAGTTAAACTGTTTTTACGTAAGGGTCTGCCATAAAGGATGTATGCCTGAAAGGTCTATGAATCTCTGTTGTCCAAAGAGTGTCATGATGTCATTGCATGCATCCGAGGGGAGAGCATTCAGGGGTTAATTTGATTGCGTTTGAGTCTAACAATGCAGCGTCACCGTGTAATCTAGGATGTTACTCAGACTTGCCCTAAGTATACAGTCAGCTGAGTAAATGATGAAGTTCCTTGCACCAGCATGGGTTTGGGCCAAAACTGAGGCATTTTGAAAGTCCCACTGTTAATGTTCTCAGCACAATTGTTTTAATGTAGTTTACAGCTAGATCAATATTCATATTCAACTATCTAATTTTTCTTTCCTGTTTCTACATATACTAGAGGAAGTTTTATTAAAAATAATAATGTTCCCAGTTTTAAGTTCTTTAATTTTAAAAAATACCTAAGCCATCTTTCCCTAAACCTCCTCTGTGGTCTGTAGTCCTGGGCAGAGTATACATGGAAAAAAACAGTAGTGCTGTACATTGTTACCTAACTTTTTATAATGTTATGAGAAACAGAAGAGGGCCTTGAAAAGTTAAAATAGTGCACAATGAGAACAGCCTCCTAGAATAGAAACAAAGCTTCCCCTGATTTTGAGTAAGACTTGGTCTGAATGTTCCTAAAAAAGTCCTATCCCTAGTTATTTGCTTTTTATGGGAGCGTCTGGTAGGATATGTCAAACAATGTTAGTTGCAGTAATTGGCCTTGGTAACAGCTTCTAGTCTTTTGGTTATCAAATTTCTACTCCAGATCAGGCTTCATATGTTCAAATGGACCATATTTACCCCCTGGTGTTTTGGAAAAACATGCCTGGAAGCTAAAATGTCTGTGGTAGCTGTGGGACTGACTGCCTTTCTTTCAAAACTTGAATGCTCCAAGAGGTGAGAATGCTTGGAGGGCCATCACTGCTTGGATGAACTGAACAACTCAGCATCTCACCACTAGGCACTTCCTAGTATTTCTAAAGCATGGCAGACTTTGAAGCCTGGAGTAGTTTTTCATTGGCAGTGGGCCAAGTCATGTTATTAACTTTAAAGACATTCATACAGGGTTTCCCACATAAGAATCTAGGTATCTTTTGGGTCTTGGCCCAAGTACTTCACAGCTCTGGGATCTGCCAGAGCAGCTGAGAAACAAGGTAAATTCTTAGAACACTCTAAATGATCTGAACTGAATGACGAAATTCTAGCTTGTCTGAATGACTGTCTTTGTCATTTGTCTTTCAGATCCTCAGGCTCCATCAGCCACCATCTGATCACATTGCAGCAACATAGATGTTGCCATGAGGATCAGGAGGTGTCCTGTCTACTTCACAGCTTAGCTTTTGGTCCTGCTGGGTAAACACCAGAGAGAACTCGATGTAGAGGCAGAGTACACATTTTAAGAGAGCTGACAAGTCCGTTCCTGCACATACATGCACCTGTGTAAGAGTTCTCCAAGTCCAGAGGCCTCTGTGGCACTGCATGGATGTAAGAACTTTTGCGTGTGTGGGGTTAGACTCTGCTTTCTGAGATATGATGCTCCGACGAGGATTTATTCTATTTCTCCCCCGACTTGTAGGCCTGCTGGTAGTGGCCTGTTGCTCAATGTCTATTGTTTATATGTTGGCTTGTACACCCAAGGGTGACAACCAGCAGCTTGCCTTGCCCAGGGTACACAGTCCGACTGTGAAGGAGGGATATGAAGCTGTTCTGCAAGAGCGAGAAGAGCAACACCGCAATTACATCGTCAGCTTGAAGAAACAAATTGCCCAGTTGAAGGCTGAGCTCCAGGGCAGAGCCGAGCAGTTTAAGAAGATGCAGAGCCAGTACCCAGACCCCTTGGACGTTTGGCTTGACCAAAGTAACCCAGAGAAGGCCCAGGCTAACCTGCTGGCTTTCCTGCGTTCCCAAGTAGACAAAGCAGAGGTGCACAGCGGTGTTAAGCTGTCCACGGAGTATGCGGCTGTGCCCTTTGAGAGCTTTACCCTGCAGAAGGTGTATCAACTGGAGACGGGGCTGACACGTCACCCAGAAGAGAAACCTGTAAGGAAGGACAAGCGAGATGAGTTGATAGAGGTGATTGAATTAGGAGTTGGGAGTTTGAACAAACCAGAGGGAGTCAGCAATGCAAAGCACCGTGTATACACAGCCTCCGACTTCGTTGAAGGTTTGTATGCAGACAGCAGGTTAAAAGAACCACATAGTGCTGGTGAGGAGTTCTGGTGTGACTGAGTTGCTGAGGGAGATGGAAGTTTTAATCCACATCTGACCTAGGTGAACTTGGCATAGGAGAAAAAACTTGCCTTGCTCATCTTCAAATGTTTGTGCTGCAGACACAGAGATGTGGGTAAGATGCCTACCTTTTATGGAATGACTGCTCTCATGTGCTGATCACAAATCACTAGTGATTTTGCTGTGGGTTGTTTTCTTCACCAAGCTTTTATGAACAGAGCATAGCAAAATGTGTCTTCCATGTGATGAGGACAAACTACTGCTGCTGTGCATTGGCCAGTCATTATTTTCCACTCTGTATGTTTCTCTGGTGACAGTAGGTTCTTGAAACCATGCTGGGATGTACCTGCCAGCTGGGCAGGTGCCTCCCATGGCAAGGATGTGAGTTGCTTAAACTGTGGAGATCTCACTGAAGCAGGTCCTTGCTCCCCCCTGCTCCAGGCACTTCCTCCACTCCAGTCCAATTCTTCTTGCTCAGACACAAGACCAGGAGGTGAGCAGAGACCTGGGAAGTGCTTCTAACTGCCAGCATTTGAATGCATCCTGGAACTACATGCTTCCATTCTCTTCCTTTCTGTTTGTTGTTCAGTTTATCTTTTCAAAATATGTTTCTATAGTTTATTATAGGTGCTGAACAAGCGTGTATGACTCTTTGGCATCAGCTCTTCCATGGGAGAGGGTGAGAAGATAGGAAGATGTTTCCTGCCATACAATGCTTAGTATTCATTAAGTTTAGAGCCCACTTTTATGCACCATCAAGGGTCTTTGACTGGGTACCAGCGCCGTGCTTGGGGAACAAGGCAAAATCTGATGTGCCTTCCCCAGAAAGGCCTGGGGAAGAGATGCACACTGCAATGCTGGTTCTGTGGAGGTTCTTCATGCACTAATGGTCTTGCTGGCTTTCACATACCATGGTGAAATACTCTGGAGGGAGGAAGCCTTGCATGCGACTCAGAGCTCAAGAAACTGAAGCCCCATGTGCAGGTCAGTCTGAGCTCAAGAAACCTTCCTCGTGTCCTCACCTGCAGACCAGGCCCTTGCTTCTGTAGGTGCAAGAGAACAAATTCTCATTCTCACTCAGCAGACCAATTTGTTTGCAAATGCAGGGATCCATGCATTGGGACTGGAAACAAAGAGATTTGGCAGAAGATTTCCCTGCTGAGTTCCTCTGGAAGTCTCTGTCATCTCTTGTCACTCTTTTCCTCCACCCTCCATTCTCCAAGAATGGCAAAAGCCACTGATCAAAGCACAAACAAATCCATTGCTCTGTGTGACTCGAGCAGGTGAAGGGAAGATGGAGTTTTCAGTTCCAGTTTTACATTTCAGTTAGAGTTTGGACTCACAACATGTTTTGGAAACAGTGCTCTGCAGGTGCCACTGTCTACACAACAAGTTAGTAATAGGCTGGATTCTATGTCAGCTTCTGGCAGCTTAATATAAATCTAGTAACACAGCAACCATGGGCTGCATTTACCCAGACACCAAGCCAGCCAATGCATTTTCTGGAACTGCCCAGAGTATCTGGAGCTTTCTGGGAGATGTGGCCCAGGTCTGCACTGAAAGTAATACCACTTAACCCTCTTAGTCTTTATCTTCCAGCTACTTCAGCAATAATAGCACACAAAAGCTGTGTGCATCTCTTATGCTAAACATGGAGGCGACTGTCCTCGTCTTAAGGTTGATCAGGTGCTGAAATGAAAATCAGGTAATGGGGATCAGAGGCAGGATTAAAACCCTAAACTGCTGCTCTTGGTAAGTGAGATTTGTGTCCTTGTTTCTTCTCTGTTCAGCAAAGCCTTTGACACCAGCTTCACTAAAACATGTTGCTGACCCTGAGTCTCACTACAACATAGAGTCATACAAGTTAATCTTGTTTGCTTAGGCCTCTTGTGCAGACTTTTCTGTTCTTGTGGATCATATTTGGCAGTTTTTCAGTGCTTGTTCCTTGCGAACATATGCCATTAGGCAGGGTGGTGGTATGGGGTAATAAACTCAGTTAGGGTCTATATCTCTCCCTTTTTTTTTTTTTCATTTTGTGCCTTTATTCTTGTCTTTGCAGAGGGAAAATGTTTCTTCAAACACTTCTTACATTTAAGGAGATATGTTTTGTCTCCGTGGCTGGGATTTCTTAAAATAAGTGTTGCACCCTCTGCAGTTTCTAGACAGAGCGACTTGTGTGTGGGAATTAGACTGTGACCCTAGTATATTACATCTGAGTTAAACTCCTCCTCAGCAGAATTACTGTTACATGAAATTTGGATAGGATTCTCAGACAGTTCTCCTTCCAGAGTAATAGCTGACATGTAGTGGAATTTTCCATTTTTCCCCCTTATTCCAAGCCAAGGGAGCCACACCTTCTCCCTGGAGCCCGATGTGTATCCATCTGGCTGCTGCTCTGCTTCTCTCTTTACAGAGACACTTGGGCTGTTCAGCTGTTACAGTGCTCCCATCTCCCCCTTATTCCTCCTACTTTTGGACCAAGTTCACTAGTTTTCTGCCATGAGGAGTCAGGAAAAAACAGCATGGAAAAAATCAGAAATTTCTGTGTATTATAAGCAGGCGAAGGACTGCTCTGTTTCCAATAGAAAGTCCCTCGCTCAGTGAGCAGCATAACAGGTCTGGTCATTAGTATATGTAAGTAGCAGCAGAGCTGAATAGTTTTGGGAGTCATTCATTTTCGAGATAATAATCTGGAGACTCTGACAAGCCAGAGTGGTGTGTTCCATAAGTGAATGGAATAACTGTCTGGTGATACTCTTTCATAACAGGAATAGTTCCAAAAAATCCCTGGATTGCTTAAGAAATGCCCTGCCATGATACTGTCAAATATGCTGTATCGTAAGTTTTCTACTTGAAGTACGTGGCTGTCTAGTGACCGAAAATTTAAATAAGGTCTCAGATACAAATGGAAAAGAGTAGCTTTGATTTCTCAAGGTGGCTTGACTGGTGATGGTGGGCTACCTGATGCAATTTTGCCCTGAAAGCTTACTGGGAGAAAGGATGATGCTTTTCCTCGAAGGTTAAGATGTTGTATTTTACTGCATATGAAGTGGGAAGACCATCATAATACAGAGTTAAAATGGGGACAATGAATGCTGATAAATCCTAGTAAGTGGTTCCTATAACATCTAACAGAAGACAAGTAATGAGCATGGATCCAGAGAGTGTTTCTAGTGACAGTGGAAGTCCTGAAACCTGTGGTCTGTGGAACTGAGGCTAAAATTGTCATCCACTCACCAGCATTTTGTTAAGAATGCATTCTGGTTGGCTAGTTACCCATTTCATGTAGATCCATGTAGGTGAAACTTGTTTGCCTGCTCTGTTGACTAGAGATCAGGTATTTACCATTTCTTTAGAGAACCTTGGAAATTGCTGATCTGAAGACTGGACACTTACCACTCTTTAGTCAACCCTTCAGCCCAGATCTTTTTTTGCTTCTCACTTGTTCTTTTCCTTCATTTTAGAGCTACTCTCTCTGCTGACCCAGAGCTCCTGTTTATTTTTTTACATTGGGCTTCCAAAGACTTTAACTTTTCTCCCTGCCTCTGAAAGGAATGATGCATATTCTGAAATGTGGCTGCTGTAATGGAAGCAATAGATGATCGATTAACCTTCTTTTATCCATAGTGAACATCTAGCCTTTCCAAGGCCTTCATTTCAGGAGCAATCTCAGGAAAAGGTTTTTTTGTTTATTTTCTTGACACTACTTTTTTCCCTCTCCTTGTAGCTCATGTCTTAGAATTCACGCTGCTTTACATATCTTTTTGAATCGCTTAAAAAGTCCTGGTGGCACAAATTAAGTAGTGCCTCCAGAAATGGAAAAAAATCATAAAAGGAAGGATATTCTGCTGGGTGAGTCCCCAGAATGACTCAGGACATTCAGACTCATTTCCAAGGCTCACCGCCTGATCTTGGGCAAATCACTTTGTTCTCTGCTTCTAAAAAGATGATAATTAAAAAAGGAAAGAAGATGCTTAAAAATGGAAATAAAATTACAGGCATTAAACTTGGGTACAGTTCTCTTCAATATAAAATGTTAGGATAATAAATTCTTGGATTACCATTTTGTGCAAGGGAACCTTGCCTTCACCTAACTGCTTGCTTTCAGCTGCAGTAGAATTACTGAACAAGAACAAAACTACAGAGTTAGAAGCAGCCTGTGTGTATAGCACTAGGAGGGACCCCCCCTCTGGTCACAACATGCACTGTGCTTTAAGGTACTTCTTATTTGTCAAGGCTTCCTCTATGGTGTAGTACATATCTCTGGGGAAGGGGTATTTTTGGGATTGTCATTTCTTGTCTGGATTAGAACAGGATGCAGAAGCAAAGACTTTAAGATGTTGTGTGGTAGGTATTTGTTAATTTAATTTAATTTAAATTTGTTAATTTAATTTAGGTCTTTGTTATGAAAAATGTCAGTTCACTACGTCAAATGTGTGAAATAGTCATACCTATTTCTCTCTAGAGAAAATGCAAATCAGATTTAATTTACAGTTTTGTTTAGCTTAATGTCAAAAGGTTGCCTTAACCTTTCAAGCACAAACTTTCTTTGTAAAACCTGTGTTCAAAAACTGCCTCAGCAAATGAGTGCACCCAACAACACACTCGGGTCATCAGCAGGCATTGTGAGAATAAATGGGTGAGCAGAATTCAAAGGCTCAGATTTCCATTCTCTGGCCACCATGAGGAGGAAAAGAAGGGACTACTGGGTCACCATTCAGGTGATCTCAAGTTCAATAACAGATGTAGTTCATGGTCTGCACCTTGGGCAGACTATATGGAAAAAGGTAGGAGGAATCAAGGGCACAGCTTTGAAAGATTAACAGTAAAAGAATGATGGAGCTGTTATCTCCCTAGATTCATCTGCTATGCTAGAAGGAGGATTGGAGCATTTGTTGACTCAGCTTATATTAAAAATAAAACATGAAGTGAATAACAGATCAGGAAATCTGCATATATTATTAACCAATTGAAGCATTCATTAAGAACAAAACACAGAATGATAGTGAAGATAAGACAGTCCTCAGAACTCTCACCAGAAAAAATCACACCTTTTGTGTGTCTTTTGATTATATCAGTGTAAAAACTGTAATACAAGATGAAGAGCTTGTGTCACTTTGCTGTTCAATGAAAACTTTGACCCAGACCTTCACAAGAAAAACAGACAAAGCTGACAGTCTATGAATCAGATGCACAGCAGTGTTACATATCAGGGAATGAACAAGATGAAAAAAAAGCATTATTTTGGTGTTGTTTTTCATAATGAGAAGAAACTGTGCTTCATAACCAGATATGGAGGGGAAAAAAAAGAAAAACAAGTCAAGAGGAGTTTTTTTCCAGACATTTTTTACTTGTCTCTTTAACTTCTGCAAGAGATGGAAGGCATTGCAATTATACTCTTGTACTGATTAAGTTGTTAACATGCTTACAGTGGCTTCATGAGTAGTTAGAATTACCATTAATTATTCCTTCTTAAACCTAATGGATCTGACAATGAAAAAGCTTTATTTTGGTACGCACTGTAGGGACTGTAGTACCATTTAGAGTGGGTAACATCTATAGCCTTTTTGACACTTGCTCTCATTCAAAGTGTCAGAATAGCGTTTCAGTGAGGTATGGCAAGGATTTCTGTAGTTCATGCTGTCCCTCGGCATGGCACCAATTTCACCCACTGAGTATATCAAAAGTTCATTCCATACAGGAAATAAATACATGTTTGTATGAATGAAATATCCTTGGAGACTGCTTAATGCAGTCTCCAGGATTGTGTCCTGGGTCTAGCCTCTAACCAACTCTGTAGCATCATCCTTGCAGATCATTACTTGACCAGGAGTGTGCGTCATTGCCACAAAGGAAATGAAAGTCTCTCAAGAGCTGAGTAACAGGAGAGTTTTGTCCTGATTGGCAGTGGGTGAAGCTGATGGCTGTCGAGGCCTGGTTGCATGTCATTATTAGGGGACTTTCCAGAGAACCTCCCAGAATGAATGAAATTAATGTGCTCATCAGGAAATTGCTTTTCTGGGAGATGGCCTAATCATTCCTATTGCAGGGAGGCAGTCTGCCTTTCGCAGTGTCTCTGCATCCCATTACCATGCATGTCTGCAGTGTGCCATTGGAGCAGTCTGAAAAATCAGGACAGTATGTCTGCTGGGTTATACTGAGTGTGAGCAGTTGGTAACCTTCAGGAATTTGTAACCCAGCTAAGCCTAGAAATGTGCCTGCAAGAATACCAAATAGCTCCGGCAACCCAGGGCTGTGTCCCTGCCAGAGTGACAGCCTCCTCCAAACCATGGTGGACTGTGTGCTGGTTTAGAAGTAAATAGGCCTCTGCTGTATTCTCAATTTAGGTGTAGCAAATGAAGACTGCATCCTGTTTTTCCACCCAGGAGTCCAGCTTTAATCCAAAAATCTCTTCACTTTTGTTTTCAAACAGGGATCTACCGCACAGAAAAAAATAAAGGCACACTGTATGAGCTGACTTTCAAAGGAGACACAAAACATCAGTTTAAGAAGATTGTTTTATTCCGGCCATTTGGTCCTGTAATGAAAGTGAAAAGTGAAAATGTCGATATGGCTGACACACTTATTAACATCATTGTGCCATTGGCCAAGAGAGCCAGCAAATTTCGGCAATTCATGCAGAATTTCAGGTGAGCTTCCACTACAGTGCTGCCTTTGCTTTTTCTTACTTGGAAAATAAGATGCAATTTTAGGAGTTGTCCTCACTCACTGCTACTTCTACATAACAGTTCATTGTGCCACCAAAACATTTTTGAGATTATAGACTGCAAGGCATTTGTCTGCTTAATGCATTGTGATCAGCAATAAAAGCAATTATAGTCCAGTCATCAGGGTTTCTGATTTGCATGTACCTGACTTATGTGTCTCAGTCTGTTTGTGGCACATGCAATTGTGGCAACATGAGAATTTCCTGCCAGTAGTTGCAAAGGAACATTTCTAAGGAAAAGGGGAATCAGTGCTCCCAGACACCAGGCCCCATTAGATAAAACATTAAGGCAATAAGAAACACAAAGGAAATGTATTTGAACTTTCAGGATAGTTACTCTTAAACTTCTTTTAATCTTCAGCACAGAGATGTTTGGAGATGTAACTTTAAATAGCTGCCCCTAAGACTGTGTTATGAACAGATACTGACTCTTACAATGGGATTTGTTTTGCCTAATTACAGCCATCTAAAAATAGGCTCCTTGTCTAAATTAGCCATCTGATAGGTGCTTGTTTTAGGATGAGAAAAATCGCCCTCTGGTTATGCTGATCTCTCTGCTGATTATAGATGAACTCTTCCTGACTAAACTTAGAGCAAGTGAAGCATAGTGTCTAGCATTAGTTCTGATTGGTCTTACTCTTAGGCTACAGATTTGACCTCTGATTGATACTTAGATTTTAGTAAATGCCAAAGATCTGAATTCTAGAGTATCTGTTACAAAAGATCAAGGTTATGAGATAAGGTACGTATTAAAATCCCCCTTCTCATATTCTTATAAGTGTTGGAGTTGTTGCCTGCCTCATCATTCTTGCTGGGGCTGGATGGCCTGTTTTAAGTGTCCTCCTACTAATATAACAAACAGTGCTTAGAGAGCTTGATCCTACTCTGCCTGAAAGATAGACTTCTGTCCCATTTGACAGAAGCAGTGATCTCCTTTGTCAGGACAAGGATCTCTTGTCAGTGAATCATGCCCCTAGGAATGCCTCCAAGGTTCACCCTACTCTGCCTTCCCCAGCAGATGTAGGTTATTGAAGAAAGCTAACTTCTGGAACAAGTCAGAGATCTGTCTCTGTTCTCTAGGGAAATGGGCATTCAGCAGGATGGGAGAATTCACCTCACTGTAGTTTACTTTGGAAAAGAACAAATGAATGAAGTCAAATCGATACTTGAAAATACCTCTAGGTAAGTACCTGAACATCTGATGTGCACTGTTCATACACTGGATTGTAACGTGGAGACTACATAACTGTTCAAACTTGTAGCTGGGCCAAAAAGTTCTAAACTGCATTGGAGAAAATGGCTTTTTTATTTTTTTTAATAGACTAAAAACTTGTTACCCAGAGAGTCCCATACCCATGGTTTTGTGACATTGGTTTTTAGAACCACAAACAGATTTTACTGAATTTTACCTCAATGCAGCTTTGCTTTTATTTTTTTTCTCCCACACTGATAATGCTTTAGTGCCTTTGAAAGTGGTGTTAACTGTTAGGACTGGAAGTTGACTTCCAAAGGCAAGTGGAGCACACAGAAACTGGATTCTTTTGGCCAGTTCTGGTCTATTGAGTTTGCTTATATAGCCGTGTTTGTCAAGATCATGTGGCAGTGTAGTCTTTTGTTATCATCTCCATGTAGGAACAATACCCTTGTATAGATACAGTAATATGACCACAGGTAATTTATATTGGCATACTAAAAATACTTTTGTCAATCTAAGTCTTGTTGGGATTTTTGTGAGGTCTGCCCAAAGAAAGCCTGTGACAGAAATGCTAGCGTGTGATTCACAGGTCAAGCTCTGAATGTAGACTCAGTGGAAATCTCCTTAAAAGTCAAAGAGGACATCTCTTCCCTCAAACAGCTCTCAAACTGTGGTACTACAACTTTCTAGGTTAATTCTTTCATATTGGGTTCTCACCCCTGACTTGTGTGAAGAGTTGTATGGACAGGGTAAGTTGCTGAATATTTTCCTTCTAGGTCAGCAAACTTCAAGAACTTTACCTTCATCCAGCTGAATGAAGAATTTTCCAGGGGCAAAGGATTAGACATTGGTGCTCGATTTTGGAAAGGAAACAATGTTGTTCTCTTTTTTTGCGATGTGGACATATACTTCACAGCTGAATTCCTGAACTCCTGCAGGTTGAACACACAGCCAGGTACTGCAACTCATGAAGTATATTGTCTTTCAGCAGGTTTTACCTATTGTATAAAAGCCTTCACCATAGTATTCTTGTCTTTGAATTGCTAATGAAGCTACTGTAAATCAGTTGTTAATCAGTTGTAACAATTCCTGCTCCCACTGTGATTGAATCCCTTGCCTTCAGCATCTGCTTTCTTTTTGTTAATTATATCTTCATGTTCACATTCTTATGCAAAGAATATAGGCTCAGTGCAAAATTTGTGTAATTTTTTCTGGATTTTGTCTGGCCTGGACAGTGTCTTGTAAGAGATGGAAGCGTGTTTTATACAGCCTTTTAAAAAAATAACCCATTGTCATTTCCAGGGAAGAAGGTGTTTTATCCTGTTCTCTTCAGCCAGTATAACCCCAGTATAATTTATGGCCACCACGATTCTATCCCCCCTTTAGAACAGCAGCTGGTAAGTATATTCTTCTCTGAATGCGTGCTTTTATTTAAACAAAGTATTTTTTAAATGTGCATGTGCTCTTGGGTAGCATTCCCCTATTCCTTGTGCACAGTGACCACCACAGACAAAATTAACTACAACAGTCCCCTTACGGTGAGTTCTGCTGGTATGTTTAGTTGGCAAGGTGGTGTTGGATCATAGGTTGGACTTCATGATCTCAGAGGTCTTTTCCAACCTATTTGATTCTCTGATTCTGTGTTTCACAGGGAATTATCTTGGTACCATTTATTTTAACCCTTTTCTAAAGTTTTTACATGGAACCTAAGAGTTTGAACTGTGTCTGCTTCTCTGCCAGAAGGGATTTTCTCATTAGTGAACAGTTCCTCCATGGTGTGCTATCTTGGAGTGACAGTCCCTAATCCTGCTCTTATTTCTTCCTTGCACTGAATAGTATTTGCATTTGAAGAACTGATGTTTGTAAAAAGCATAGCTATCCTTAGATGATTCAGTGAAAACAAAATTCCAGGGGCTGTCAGACTTTTTCCCTCATTTACTTGAACACCTTACAGTGGCATTTCCCATCCCACAGTTCTTGATTAAACTGCCTGCAAGCAGTTTGTTTCTGAAGTGTACCACGTTGCCTGAGAGTCAAATGACATGCTTGGAGCTGTCCCTTCTGGCTTTAATCTGGCACTGATACAATACAGCATAACTCCACTGATTTCCATCTCACCTGCTTATTTTTGGCGTGAGAACAAAGCAAGTGTTTTTAAAAACATTGCCAGAAGGCATACAATTGTGACATGTATGAGTCTCCTTGAGGAAGAGGGAGCTGCTGTGAAGAAGAAAGAGAGCACACAGATGAGAGGTTCACATGAATGCTAATGACAGAGCCATTGCTTGACACTGCTGCAGACACTATTCTCCATTCTCTTGTGCTCAGGTGTTGCACTGTCTTGAACTTAAGGGCTTGATAGAAGTGCTTTGTGCTTCTCTTGAGTCAGTGGGTCACAGTCCTCTGCCCACTACTCCTGCTGGGTGGCTGAATTTTCAAATTGAATCATAAGCCAGCTATGCAGGTTCATTCAGTTTCTCTGGCTCTGGTCCCAACATGCCACATCTGCCCCTCTTACTGCCAGGCACTGCACTTATCAGGGCTCATCATGTCCCAGGCTGGACACTGTCCCCAGAGCATCCCAGCTTCTACTGTTGTTCTGGGTAGATAGGGTAGATAGGAATTAGTGGTGTTGTGATCCCAGGAACAGCCATAGCTGAAAACAATCATTTGGGGTCTGAGTCCAGTCTTCTGTCATCACTACCCCCACCTTGCAAGAGTTCCTCTTTAAAAATGAAGAATGAGACTTTGAAAATACTTTTTTTTTTTTTTTTTTTTTTTTTCTACTGCTGTCTGTGTTATCAAACATGTAGCCAGAAAACCTTTTCTGAAAAGTCTGGAAAATCCCTTCTACCGTTTTTTTCTCAGAGGAGACTTATTCTGATAATACCATGGGATTCATGTTAGCTTTTCTCTCTCTGATGAGACCCTGCCATGGATTTTCAAGCTTGTAAGCACTGTGCTTAGGAAATAAAATAGAGTTCAACTCTCAAGCTAGCATAAAGTCCACAAAGTATGTTGTTAGGATTGTGAAAGTATTTATAGCTAATATTTGAATCATAAAATGTGATGCTTATGTCAGAAAACCTTATTGATTTAAAGAAGTACAGCCAATCTCATTTTTATGCAGATTTTTATATTTTTAGCCCACATTGGTTCCCAGGCATGAGGCCAGATCTATGCCATTAAAACAAGACAGTGTTACCTCTCTGTCCCGGTGCTTGGGCTGCTGAGGAAAAAAACTCAAACCTTTGGAAATCTGTGATAGAATTTGATTTGTGCAGCAGCCACTTGCGCTAATGAGAAATAATAATGCTAATGCATATGAGTGGCTTGCTGTAAGGGCATCCTTATGGAGACTTGTTACAGTGCAGACCTGACAGATACAATCTTGTTTCCTTTTAATTGGCTTCTGCAGTAAGTTGGTTTTTTCAAGGAAAGGAGAAATGAGAAATGAAAGCAATAGCAATGTGAGCAGTAAAAAAAAAAAAGCTATTGAAGTGACAAGAGTTATGAACAAAAAGAGGAGATATGAACAAGAAATCAGGAGAGACTACTTTGGAAGAGCATTTCTTGGTAAAGGAAACACCGGGATTTGTAAATCCAGAAATGGAAATTTTGTCTCCTCATCTTCTGTAACTCTGTCACAAGGGAAGTCAAGATTTTCCAAAGCAGCTGCTAAGGGGTAGGTTTCTAACCAGACCTTCAAGAGTGTGAAGTACTGCTGACTTGCTCAGAGGCTTTAAATACCTGGCCCAGTCCCTTGAAGCTCTTGGATGTCTCACCATATTGGGTTAGGTCACTTGCATGAGTTTATGATGCTAGGAATCTATACTTGGATTTCTGCTTTTCAAAATTACAGCTATAGTTTCTCAGTGCTCCGATTTTTTACCTGTAATACATAATGTTTTCATGGTCCATCTCAGTAACATAGACTGTTCATTCATTTTCACAAAGGCTTTCATGGGACGTATATCCTAACATTTCCGGACTTCAGTTTTAGCTGGATATAGCAGTTCTGTAATGGAAAATTATTCTTGGTACTTTCCTAATTTTTATCAAAATTAAGGTAATCAGAAAGCTGCCAGTTGTGCAATCAAGATTAGAACCACAGTTTTCTTCCAGAGGTCTTGGGGTCCACAATCCAGGTGCCACCATCTGCTCTTACAGCAGAGTCTGGCTTCCCTGGTTTACCAATAGGTTTCTTACATTTGAATGCCACAGAAGGAAACTAACAATTTTGGAGGATGTTTTACCTGCAAAGAGGTAAGCTCCAGAGAGCAGTGTGATATTGGTCTACTTGGTCTATGAAAGCAGGAGTGGAGCAAAACCTGATCATTTTGGATCAGGGGCTTTATCCATGATAGCTAACGACACAGCTGTTTTTTGGAGACAGATATATGCACTGAGTAGCTACAAAAACGGGTTCAGGATCAGCCATGGATTCACATGGGGAAGAAAAAAGGGCAGTTGCTCCTATTTCTGACCACATTCAGGAACTTGTCTGCTGCTCACTGTGAAAGCATTTCTGCTTCTATACAAACATTCTTTTCCCTCCATGCAGATTATTAAAAAAGAAACTGGATTTTGGAGAGACTTTGGTTTTGGGATGACTTGCCAGTACAGATCTGACTTTATCAACATAGGTAAGAGAAATACACTCCAATACACCTGTATTTTTACTAAAACAGAAAATGACAATCAGCCTCCCTTTCCTTGGCCAATGTGTCTATGTCACTAATTTGCAGCAGTGCTGTGGCTAGATATTCACACTATTCCTAGGTGCCATAGAGGTTACCAGAACCTAAGCACTGCTCAGTACAAATAAAGTTGTGTCTGACAGTTAAAGATTTGAGGCTGAGAAATTTGGGCACTTGGATGTTCACAGAAAGCGTGTCTGTTTTAAAGGGCTGGCTGGATCCAGAAAACAGGTGCAGTGTAATTAATAGCATTGAGTTTCCTAGTATATATTTCTAGTTTTATTTTGGATTTTGTTTGTGTCAGGTGGCTTTGACCTGGACATTAAAGGCTGGGGTGGTGAAGATGTACATCTGTACCGCAAATACCTTCACAGCAACCTCATCGTGATCCGAACGCCTGTCAGGGGTCTCTTCCATCTGTGGCATGAAAAACAGTGTCTGGACGAGCTGACCCCAGAGCAGTACAAAATGTGCATGCAGTCCAAGGCCATGAACGAGGCTTCTCATGGCCAGCTTGGGATGCTTGTTTTCAAGCAAGAGATTGAGACACATCTGCACAGACAGAAATTGAGTAGTAAGAAGACATGAAACCAGAAAGGGAGGCCACGAGGCTCTGAATAGGGTGTTTTTTAAAAGAGTTGCTAACCAGAAAAGATGGAATCAGACTGAAAGAGGATGGAAATTTCAGCAGGATGGCAGCAAAAGAAGAAGAGGGGAAAGTGTTTGTCCTCCCTACTTTTGTTTTTATTCTAATGGGGCTTTTAAGTACTCCATTAGCCTGACTTTTCAGCACTTGCTTCTAGGGGAGACTTGAACACTTGATGAGATTCAAGGTCATGTCGGACCATGACGGAGACAATGAACGTTACATAAATGCTGGTATGGTATTCACAATAACAAACGGACGTGCTCCTCCTTTGAAATGTTTGTAAGATGTTATTTAAAGGATTGACCTTTTTGTGGGCCAATAATTAGGAGTTCTTTTCTACATCTCACTGATATCTCTAAAAAGGGCTATTTTTGAATAAGTACAGAGCTCCTGCTCTGAGAAGGACATCTGATTGTTAACGATGGTTAAGCTGGAGTGACCAAAAATCCTTTTCCCTTAAGGGGCTGGGACAGGGTGGGGGACAGCAGCAGTGCACTAACAAGGCATTCCCAGTTCATCCAGAGAAAGAGGTATCTCAGAAAGTGCTTTCTAAAATTCAGAAACAGAAAACTCTACTGATCAAGTGTGATGGTTCCAAAGTACTCGAGAGGAGTGATTGTTCTCCTCTGTGGATGGTGAACCAAAAGCAATGAGCCACATCTGTATCATGTGAATCAGATGGTGTATTTCTGCTTTAGAATACTGTATGTATCTCAAGATTTATTTTTAAATGAAGTTGGTTTTGCTTGGGAATTATTTTGTCAAACTTCAGGTTTTCTACTTCTAGCCTTACTAAGAAACAGTACAGCCTTCCGACACCTGGAAAACGCTCTACAAATCTGTGTTTCCTGTGGATGGGATCTGGGTTCAGATAAGTGAAGTGATTTTTCTACACAACCTGGGTACTGGAAGGCAGAAGCTTTATCATGCTGAAGAAAAGGAAATCCATATCAACTTGCATTACTGACTTAGGAGGCTTTAAACTCTGAATGCCAGATACCAAAATTGATGAACATTTTCCGACTTTATACCAAAGTATTCCTTCTAAACCAAATACAGAGTCTTGCCCAGGGCACAGAAAGCTTTTTGTAATTAACAAAATAAATTTTTGTGATGGATTACTGGACCCTGCAAATTCTCTTATGATAATTATAGGTACTAATCCTAAAAATTAGTCATCTTCTTAATAGATTTTTCAATTGCCTAAAACCATTGAAAGTCTGAGCTACTGCTCTTATAAAGCATTTTCTTTTAATTCTGATTGCTATTTATCATTTTAATATATACCAGCCAACAAAAAACTGCATAGGCTTGGAAATCCCATTTGCTTACCTAAATGCTGTTTCTCTGAGCAGTCTCTTTGTTTTATAGCTTCAGATTAATACAAGGCAGTCTGAAACAGATTCTAATTTGGTTTTTGGCTTGTAAAAGCTGGGGGAAGAAATCTGAAAGATAGCACTGAACAATGAATGAACCACTATTTGATGTGCCACTGTGCAATAGGAAGAGCACTTATGAACCTCTTTTGAAAGCACTGCATGCAGAATCTGCAGAGACCATGCCACTGTAAGTACCTTTTCCCTTGACAAATGTTTATATGTGTTTGTCTTTTGTTGGATGTAAAGGATCTGCCTTGCACTTCCCTTACAAATCATCAAGGGTCCAAAACACTGCCAAAGTACAAAAAGAATGAAAACTTTGTAGACTCAGCCCCAAAATACATCACTTATAGAAACTTCAGCAATCACTCAAAGAACTGTTTTGTTCCCAGAACACATAATAAGTTATTTATAAAGAGCTTTGTTTTGATGAAGTAACTTTACAAATATTATGCAGTAGGAGGAGACAGGCATGGCTTGTTGAGTGCATATGAAAGTTACAGTAACTCAGCTCCTCCAAGGCAGCTGTTCCAACAGTCCCAGTTAACCTGAATTTGAAACTGGGTGTTGTATATTAGGACAGTTTTATAATCATAGCCTGCCTCAAGCCTAGCCTTAACTATTTCTGTGATGGGTTTTTTCACTGTCTTCCCTGAGGTTTCCCTAATTGCTCAGTAACCTAAAGTAACTTTGAGATTGGCCACACTTGTAGAGAAGGGCTAAACCAGATGATCTCCAGAGGTCCCTTCAAACCTATATTAGTTTCCAGTTCTAAGCACTGGACACTTTTAAATTCAACACTTCATTATTTTGGGTACTTTAGCAAGTGTGTCATCAAGACCCTGTCAGAGTTTCACAAGTTATGTGAAGCAAGTCATTCTTACTCCACAGACTTTTGGGGTGACTAGATTTTGGAGCAATAGATAGCCAGTCTTGAGGGCATCTGTTCTGGCAAGATAGCTGCCTTTGCAGTCAGTTCAGTGATCTAAACGTGTAGGTACAAAACTTTATGTTTCTTTCCTCACAGAAGACAGGTGAAGCTGGGAATCTTTGAAAAACTGAGGCATGACTCTCAAACGTGGGATAGATGTGAACATGGATAGTGGTTTTCCCTGGGCTATACCGAGACAACATTTGCAAATAAGTAGTTTAATATAAAGTTGTGTGAAGCTACTGGTCCACTGTTCAGTAGGGCAAACCCTGAGGAGTTTTACTATAGATCTTAGAGATAAAATTGATTAAGTTCTGCTATGTTCATGCCAGATCAGCCTGGACCTTATTTCTGCAAGTTAACACCCTGCCTCTCAAAATGCCTTTTTAGAGGCATTTAGACTTTCTCCTCTGTCTTTACCAGCCCATAGGTATGCAAACACTTCATGATTTGTCTCCTGCAGGATAACAACTATGGCACATTCTCCACATCAGAACAGATGTTTTTCTCTAGGGTCTTTGAAGGACATTTTGTTTTGGCCATATTTTTAGAATAAACAGTTCATAAAGAGGGAATACAAATAATCTGATACCCCTTCTCATGATTGAAGCAGATTATGTTTAAGTTATTTCTTTGATACATAGGATATAATGCTCAAGAAGCTCATTAAGTCAATTGAAGTGCCAGAGTGTCATTAGATTCAGAATCTCAGTTTACACTAAGGCTTTATTTCTAGCAAAGTACACCTGCTGTAACTGGAGTGCAGTTTTCCCCTTTCCTTGAATGAAAATTGCCTGTCAGCATAGTTGTAAATTTTAAGACCAGATGATTATAATTTCTTTTATTCTATATCCCTCAAAACACAGATCAGTCTAAGACTAAGGTTTTGACTGCTCCTTCAAGTTAAGCAGAATAGCCCTGATCTAACAGAAAAAAGGAAACAGGTAAAAACAGGTAAACAATTGAAACAAGATTGACTATTGTTCACTATTTGAGGATAGTGTCTCTAAAACTTTATGTTAACAGATTAAAACCACAACCTTCAGCTGTAGAATTTGTCGTGCAACAACATGAGGGAATCTGAGGACTAATTTGTTATGTGATTCTGTCCAGGCTCTTCCTCAGTATTCTGAATGATGTATTTAAAAAGCAGTGTAACAGATAAGGAGAGAGAATATTACATTGAAAGAACAACTTCTATAATGAAGTTTACACCAGATGCATCTGAGTAATCCGGACACGACTTGCAATAAATAACTCCATTTTGGAAAATATCATTCTTTACTGGCAAACACTCTTCTGTAAACTGTATTAATACTGATATGGGTGCTGCTTTTTACGTTTTTTATTCTCTGTACCTGCGGTAGTCTTTTATACAAATGCCTCTGTCCCTTCTTTCCCTTTCAAAAGGTTAATTCCTCTCAATGCAGAAAGGCCTGTGTAGGATTTAAATACAGGTTAAAAGAGTGGGGATCTATATTCAGAGGCTAGAGGAGTTTAAAAAATGTACTCTTCATGAAAATCCATCATCACAGAGAGCACCTTTCACCGAAAGGCGCTCAGGGTTTGCTTGGATGTTCAGTTTGAATGTCCTTCATTTCAAGGACACAGCATTTTACAGAATTAAGCTTCACATTATGTAAATTACATATCAAGATCGATTCACCTCTCCAAGTTGTTATGTGCCTTCAGGAAGGTATGATTTCATTCAACTGTAGGTACCAATCTATTTCCCAGATGGCACACAACCTTGCATTCAAGAACAAAAGGCAGCTTGAATACAGAAGTCCCTGAAAAAATCTGCAAAAACCCACTGAAAATCTGTGGCAGTATCTCCCTGTTCAACTGATTACTTCATCAACTCATTCACTCCATTGTCTGGGATACATCCAGGTGCTTTGCAGCTTGCTGGGCTGATGCATCCTTCAACTCAGTTGATATGATAAACCCACAACAGTACTTATCCTCCTACTGCTTCATTTTGAAGGATATGAAATAGAGGCACTTAGGGTTTCAGGTAAGTATCAGCAGCTCTAGTTCCAAGTTCAGTCTTTGTGAATACAAGCATGGGACTGCACAGTGAGACTGGGAGGTTCACTCAAAGAGAGAGATGTAGTCTGGCTCTCGGTCCTCTTGGCCACATGGGTAAAGCAGCAGTTCCTTCCCCAAGGAAGTGATGGGTTCATCCTGTTGATATAGGATATGATCAAACACCTGTTTTCAAACAGACCCTACCTGTCACAGCCTCACAGGATGGACAGCAATCTCCCCGCCTCTGTTACAGTGTGGCCTCATTCATGCCACTGTGTGATCCAGCTCAGTGCCCTGGGGAACCTGGGGTAGGACAGAAGTGGGTGTCCTCTGTCTTCATAACACAATATTTGTGCTCAGTGCCATGACTCAATGACACAACTCTGGCAGTGCTCAGAAAGAGCTGTGCTCATCTTGTAGGAAACTACAGCTTCTATGACATGAAGTGGTGTGCCCTGCCTAGAAAGTGCTGGAGCAAGGACTGTGCAGCGTGCAGGTAAGCAGGACCATGTGCTTCTGGCTATGTTTGTGGGAGGGACAAGGGTGGATCCTAGAGTGAGCACATACCCTCTGCTCAGGCAAATCCTGTTCTAACCAGGGAATTCCCTGACAGTACAGTGTCTGCTTCCAGTCTTGTCCTCCATCCTAGCAGCAGATGCATGGTGGGGACTTGCCTTCTTTCATGGTCACCCAGTGGGTGATAAGCAGAACCCACTGGATCACTTTGGCAGAGTGGGTTTAGCCTGCCCACATCTGCTGTAGTGCTGGGGCTCTGTAGGATTCATTGCAGACTATGGGCATGGCTCTATCTTTGATGTAGCTATGCACAGCCAGGCTTTAAATCCCCTGGCTCTGGAGTCAATAGCTGTGTAGCTCCTGCTTTCAGTGATTTCAACCTGAACTGTGAAAACCACACAAGAAGCAAGTTCTGGTAGCCCAGGTAGAGTTCCATAGAGCAAATGAACATAGATATTGCCCTCATGTCAAATTTTGCTTAGGCATGTCTGTATTAGGCTAGGCACTTATTTAAAAGAAACAGGGATTTTAAATGAACCTACAAAGCAAAAGTATTGTCTTGTCCCTGGTCAGATCTTACAGTGAAGGAATGAACAATCCATCTGGCTCTCCTTGGAGCCCATGTAACTGCAGTCAGTGCTGGTAGACACTACTGTTATTGCTGCAAGAATCTGCCAACCTTCTTCCTTCCCTTCTATTTTTTATCTTTGCTCAATATCACACCTTGCCTGCTTTTAGATTATAAAGATACCTTGTTCTCTTTCATGCTGAAGCTGGAGGCAAGCAGGATTTTCTGTTTACCCAACTTGCCAGAACACCACAACCACAGAAAATACGAAAGAAAGGAGTCTATATGAGTATGCTGTCACCTCTCACCTTAGCAACATTTCTAAGCAGCACGTAAGTAACTTGAGCCTTGTGCAAGGTGTTCTGTGTGCTTGAGAGTGAATGAGTCAGATCTAAGATGTTTGAGATGTGTTAGGCCACCTGAGATGTACCAATCAGGCTGACATACCCTTCTGGAGCAGCACACAGGATACCCAACAGCAGTTAAAATGGGTCTAGTTACCTACTTCAAAATAACTGCATCTATTCTTTCTTATTTTGAAGTGCCCTGAGGCAATTAAACAGTTAATGAATGCATTGATAGATGTTTTACCTTGTGGTAGTCTACAAGGTCAGCCAGCGTTGAATGTTGCAGCTGGTCCACTCCAAGGAAGCTGTAGGAATCACCGGAGGCATCAATGAGGAAGTGTTTACAT